GACGCAATTCTTTCATCTCCGCCACGCAACTCTTCTACACGCAGTAACGGATATATTCGTCCCTCCATCTTTAATTCTTCTAGACGCAACATAACATATTCGTCTCCGCCATCTTTAACTCTTCTACACGCAGTAACTGATATATTCGTCCCTGCCATCTTTAATTCTTCTAGACGCAAGTAACATATTCGTCTCCGCCATCTTTAACTCTTCTACACGCAGTAACGGATATATTCGTCCCTGCCATCTTTAATTCTTCTAAACGCAGCAAGTAACATATTCGTCTTCGCCATCTTTAACTCTTCTACACGCAGTAACTGATATATTCGTCCCTGCCATCTTTAATTATTCTAGACGCAGCAAGTAACATATTCGTCTCCGCCATCTTTAACTCTTCTCCCTGCCATCAAATTCTTCTAGACGCAGCAAGTAACATATTCATCTCCGCCATCTTTAACTGCAGTAACTATTCGTCCCTGCCATCTTTAATTCTTCTAGACGCAGCAAGTAACATATTCGTCCCGCCATCTTTAACCATCTTTAATTCCCTTCTTTAATTCTTCAGACGCAGCAAGTAACATATTCGTCTCCGCCATCTTTAACTCTTCTACACGCAGTAACTGATATATTCGTCCCTGCCATCTTTAATTCTTCTAGACGCAGCAAGTAACATATTCGTCTCCGCCATCTTTAACTCTTCTACACGCAGTAACTGATATATTCGTCCCTGCCATCATTAATTCTTCTAGACGCAGCAAATAACATATTCGTCTCCGCCATCTTTAACTTCTTCTACGTCGCAGTAACTGATATATTCGTCCCCTGCCATCTTTAATTCTTCTAGACGCAGCAATTCGTAACAACATTCGTCTCCGCCATCTTTAACTCTTCTACACTTTAAACTTTCTACACGCAGTAACTGATATATTCGTCCCTGCCATCTTTAATTCTTCTAGACGCAGCAAGTAACATATTCGTCTCCGCCATCTTTAACTCTTCTACACGCAGTAACTGATATATTCGTCCCTGCCATCTTTAATTCTTCTAGACGCAACATATTCAATCTTTAACTCTTCTACACGCATATTCGTCCCTCCGCCATCTTTAAAGTAACATATTCTCTCCGCCATCTTTAACTCTTCTAACGCAGTAACTGATATATTCGTCCCCTGCCATCTTTAATTCTTCTAAACGCAGCAAGTAACATATTCGTCTCCGCCATCTTTAACTCTTCTACTTTAACGCAGTAACTGATATATTCGTCCCTGCCATCTTTAATTCTTCTAGACGCAGCAAGTAACATATTCGTCTCCGCCATCTTTAACTCTTCTACACGCAGTAACTGATATATTCGTCCCTGCCATCTCTTTAATTCTTCTAGACGCACGCAAGTAACATATTCGTCTCCGCCATCTTTAACTCTTCTACAAGCTGTAACTGATATATTCGTCCCTGCCATCTTTAATTCTTCTAGACGCAGCAAGTAACATATTCGTCTCCGCCATCTTTAACTCTTCTACACGCAGTAACTGATATATTCGTCCCTGCCATCTTTAATTCTTCTAGACGCAGCAAACGGGGTCTACACGCATAACATATTCGTCTCCGCCATCTTTAACTCCTCTACACGCAGTAACTGATATATTCGTCCCTGCCATCTTTAATTCTTCTAGACGCAGCAAGTAACATATTCGTCTCCGCCATCTTTAACTCTTCTACACGCAGTAACTGATATATTCGTCCCTGCCATCTTTAATTCTTCTAGACGCAGCAAGTAACATATTCGTCTCCGCCATCTTTAACTCTTCTACACGCAGTAACTGATATATTCGTCCCTGCCATCTTTAATTCTTCTAAACGCAGCAAGTAACATATTCGTCTCCGCCATCTTTAACTCTTCTAACAGTTCGTCACGCAGTAACTGATATAATTCGTCCCTGCCATCTTTAATTCTTCTAGACGCACCAAAGATTTAAACGCAGAAGAGAACATATTCGTCTCCGCATATTCGTCTCCGCCATCTTTAACTCTTCTACACGCAGTAACTTCGATATATTCGTCCCTGCCATCTTTAATTCTTCTAGACGCAGCAAGTAACATATTCGTCTCCGCCATCTTTTAACTCTTCTACAAGCAGTAACTGATATATTAGTCCCTGCCATCTTTAATTCTTCTAAACGCAGCAAGTAACATATTCGTCTCCGCCATCTTTAACTCTTCTACACGCAGTAACTGATATATTCGTCCCTGCCATCTTTAATTCTTCTAGACGCAGCAAGTAACATATTCATCTCCGCCATCTTTAACTCTTCTAGTAACTGATATATTCGTCCCTGCCATCTTTAATTCTTCTAGTAACATATTCGATCTTTAACTACACGCAGTATTCGTCCCTGCCATCTTTAATTCTTCTAGACGCATATTCGTCCCTGCCATCTTTAATTCTTCGTAGACGCCAAGTAAATATATTCAGTCATAAATAAACCGACTATAAAACGCAGTAAGATATTCGTCCCTGCCATCTTTTTATTCTAGACGCGGCAAGTAAATATTCGTCTCCGCCATCTTTAACTCTTCTACACGCAGTAACTGATAATATTCGTCCCTGCCATCTTTAATTCTTCTAGACGCAGACGCTCCGCAAACTCTTCTACACGCAGTAACATATTTCGTCTCCGCCATCTTTAACTCTTCTAATTGCACAGTAACATATTCATCTCCGCCATCTTTAACTCCTCTATATATTCGTCCCTGCCATCTTTAATTCTTCTAGACGCAGTGCATATCGTCTCCGCAAGTAACATATTCGTCTCCGCCATCTTTCCGTCTCCGCCACTCTTCTACACGCAGTAACTGATATATTCGTCCCTGCCATCTTTAATTCTTCTTCAGATCTTTAACTCTTCTACACGCAGCAAGTCCCTGCCAACATATTTCGTCTCCGCCATCTTTAACTCTTCTATTGATCGCAGTAACTGATATAAATATTCGTCCTGCCATCTTTAATTCTTCTATATACGCAAAGTAACATATTCGTCTCCGCCATCTTTAACTCTTCTACGCAGTAACTGATATATTCGTCCCTGCCATCTTTAATTCTTCTAGACGCAGCAAATCATATTCGTCTCCGCCATCTTTAACTCTTCTACACGCAGTAACTGATATATTCGTCCTGCCATCTTTAATTCTTCTAGACGCAGCAAGTAACATATTCGTCCCTGATCTAAACGAAGAAATAGATATTCGTCCCTGCCATCTTTAATTCTTCTATTTGAACACGCAACAAGTAACATAAACGTCTCGTCCCCTGCCATCTTTAACTCTTCTACGCACGCAGTAAAACGAAGAGAATATTCGTTTTTTACACGATGAATATATTCGTCCCTGCCATCTTTAATTCTTCTAGACGCAGCAAGTAACATATTCGTCTCCGCCATCTTTAACTCTTCTACACGCAGTAACTGATATATTCGTCCCTGCCATCTTTAATTCTTCTAGACGCAGCAAGTAACATATTCGTCTCATCATCTTTAACTCTTCTACACGCAGTATTCGATCTCCGCCATCTTTAATTCTTCTTCTAAGTAACATATTCGTCTTCGCCATCTTTTAACTACACGCAGTAACTGATATATTCGTCCCTGCCATCTTTAATTCTTTAAACGCAGCAAGTAACATATTCGTCTCCGCCATCTTTAACTCTTCTAACACGCAGTAAACGAAGAGATTCTGATATATTCGTCTTTAACTCTTCACGTCCCTCCCCTGCCATCTTTAATTCTTCTAGACGCAGCAAGTAACATATTCGTCTCCGCCATCTTTAACTCTTCTACACGCAGTAACTGATATAAACGATCTTTAATTCTTCCTGCCATCTTTAATTCTTCTAGACGCAGCAACTGATATATTCGTCCCTGCCATATTCGTCTCCGCCATCTTTAACTCTTCTACACGCAGTAACTGACCGTATTCGTCCCTGCCATCTTTTTAATTCTTCTAAATTCACCAACAGTGACCGTAACTGTAACATATTCGTCTCCGCCATCTTTAACTCTTCTACACGCAGTAACTGATATATTCGTCCCTGCCATCTTTAATTCTTCTAAATGCAGCAAGTAACATATTCGTCTCCGCCATCTTTAACTCTTCTACACGCAATATATATTCGTAAACTCTGATAACGGATTCGTCCTGCCATCTTTAATTCTTCTAACCGCAGCAAGTAACGATAGATATTCGTCTCCGCCATCTTTAACTCTTCTACACGCAGTAACTGATATATTCGTCCCTGCCATCTTTAATTCTTCTAAACGCAGCAAAACGAACATATTCGTCTCCGCCATCTTTTAACTCTTCTGAACACACGCAGTAACTGATATAAACTCGTCCCTGCCATCTCTTTAATTCTTCTAGACCATCTTTAATTCTTCTAACTGATATAAACGTCCCGCCATCTTTAATTTCTTCCAGACGCAAAGTAACATATTCGTCTCCGCCATCTTTAACTCTTCTACGCAGTAACTGATATATTCGTCCCTGCCATCTTTAATTCTTCTAGACGCATAAAACGAATATTCGTCTTCGCCATCTTTAACTCTTCTACACGCAGTAACTGATCTATATTCGTCCCTGCCATCTTTAATTCTTCCTAGACGCAAAGAGTAACTGATATATTCGTCTCCGCCATCTTTAATCTTTTAACTCTTCTAACAGTAACTGAAACGCAGCAAGTATATTCGTCCCTGATCTTTAATTCTTCCCTAGACGCGGCAAGTAACATATTCGTCTCCGCCATCTTTAACTCTTCTACACGCAGTAACTGATATATTCGTCCCTGCCATCTTTAATTCTTCTAGACGCAGCAAGTAACCATTGAACAGTGACCGTGTAACTGATATAAACGAAGAGAATAGTATTTTGGGGGCAGCTTAATTCCTGACCATTGAACAGTGACCGTTGATATAAACTTCTAGGTTTTTGGGGCAAGTTTTGAATCTGACCATTGAACAGTGACCCCAACTGATATAAACGAAGAGAACTTTTTTGGACGGCAGCTTGAATCAACCATTGAACAGTGACCGTGTAACTGATATAAACGAAGAGAACGGTTTTGGCGGGGGGCAGGTTTCGTCTCCATTGAACATCTGACGAAGTTAACTGATATAAACGAAGAGAACGGTTTTTTGGGGGGCAGCTTGAATCTGACCATTGAACGTGACCGTGTAACTGATATAAACGAAGAGAATTTTTCTAGGGCGCAGCCATTGAACAGAAGGGACCGTCTCTGATATAAATTGAAGAGAATAACGATTTTTTTGGGGGGCAGCTTTTATCTGACCATTGAACAGTGACCGTGTAACTGATATAAACGAAGAGAATCGTTTTTGGGGGGCAGCTTGAATCTACCATTGAACAGTGACCGTGTAACTGATATAAACGAAGAGAACGGTTTTTTGGGGGGCAGCTTGAATCTGACCATTGAACAGTGACCGTGTAACTGATATAAACGAAGAGAATTAGTTTTTTGGGGGCAGCTTGAATCTGACCATTGAACAGTGACCGTGTAACTGATATAAACGAAGAGAATAGTATTTTTTGTCCAGCTTGAATCTGACCATTGAACAGTGACCGTGTAACTGATATAAACAAAGAGAACGGTTTTTTTGGGGGCAGCTTGAATCTGACCATTGAACAGTGACCGTGTAACTGATATAAACGAAAGAGAACGGTTTTCTGTCCCAGCTTGAATCTGGCCATTGAACAACCATGTAACTGATATAAACGAAGAGAATAGTATTTTTCGTCTCCAGCCTGACCATTGAACAGTGACCGTGTAACTGATATAAACGAAGAGAATTTTTCTGGGGGCAGCTTGAATCTGACCATTGAACAGTGACCGTGTAACTGATATAAACGAAGAGAACGGTTTTATAAACGAAGAGAACGGGGGGGGCAGCTTGAATCTGACCATTGAACAGTGACCGTAACTGATAAATGAAGAGAATAGTATTTTGGGGGGCAGAAGACCATTGAACAGTGACCGTAACTTTAAACGAAGAGAATAGTTTTCTAGGGGCAGCTTGAATCTGACCATTGAACAGTGACCGTGTAACTATATAAACGAAGAGAATAGTTTTTTGGGGGGCAGCATTCTGACCATTGAACAGTGACCCTGGATATAAATGAAGAGAACTTTTTTGGGAATTGAATTGACCATTGAACAGTGACCGTGTAACTGATATAAACGAAGAGAACGGTTTTTTTGGGGGGCAGCTTGAATCTGACCATTGAACAGTGACCGTGTAACTGATATAAACGAAGAGAACAGTTTTTTGGGGGGGGAGCTTGAATCTGACCATTGAACAGTGACCGAACATGTAAATGATATAAACGAAGAGAATAGGTTTTCGTCTCACTGGGCAGCTTGAATCTGGGGGGGCAGCATTGAACAGAACAGTGATCGTGTAACTGATATAAACGAAGAGAATAGTTTTTTGGGGGGCAGCTTGAATCTTCTACCATTGAACAGTGACCGTGTAACTGATATAAACGAAGAGAACGGTTTTCTGGGGGCAGCTTGAATCTGAACATTGAACAGTGACCGTAACTGATATAAACGAAGAGAACGGTTTTTTGGGGGGGCAGCTTGAATTCGACATTGAACAAACCGAACATAAATGAAGAGAATAGTATTTTTGTGACCATTGAACAGTGACCGTGTAACTGATATAAACGAAGAGAATAGTATTTTTGGGGGGCAGCTTTGAACAGTGACTGACCATTGAACAGTCTGACCATTGAACAGTGACCGTGTAACTGATATAAACGAAGAGAATTTTTGGGGGGCAGCTTTTTCTTGAACAGTGACCGTGTAACTGATATAAACGAAGAGAATAGTTTTTGAAGCTTAAATCTGACCATTGAACAGTGACCGTGTAACTGATATAAACGAAGAGAATAGTATTTTTGGCGGGCAGCTTGAATCTGACCATTGAACAGTGACCGTAAACTGATATAAACGAAGAGAACAGTTTTTTCTCCAGGGCAGCTTGAATCTGACCATTGAACAGTGACCGTGTAACTGATATAAACGAAGAGAATAGTTCTTTTGGGGGCAGCTTGAATCTCGACCATTGAACAGTGACCGTGTAACTGATATAAACGAAGAATATTTTTTCCCTGGGCAGCTTGAATCTGACCATTGAACAGTGACCGTGTAACTGATATAAACTCCGAGAACGGTTTTTTGGGGGCAGCTTGAATCTGACCATTGAACAGTGACCGTGTAACTGATATAAACGAAGAGAACGGTTTTTTGGGGGGCAGCTTAATCTGACCATTGAACAGTGACCGTGTAACTGATATAAACGAAGAGAATAGTATTCGTGGGGGGCTTTAACTGAATCTGACCATTGAACAGTGACCGTGTAACTGATATAAACGAAGAGAACGGTATTTTTCTCGGCAGCTTGAATCTCTTCCATTGAACAGTGACCGTGTAACTGATATAAACGAAGAGAACGGTTTTTTGGGGGCAGCTTGAATCTGACCATTGAACAGTGACCGGGGGCAGCTAACTGATATAAACAGTGAAGATATAAACGAATAATTTTTTTGGGGGCAGCTTGAATTGACCATTGAACAGTGACCGTGTAACTGATATAAACGAAGAGAACAGTATTTTGGGGGGCAGCCATCTGACCATTGAACAGTGACCGTGTAACTGATATAAACGAAGAGAACGGTTTTTTGGGGGGGATATAAAACAGCTTGAATCTGACCATTGAACAGTGACCGTGTAACTGATATAAACGAAGAGAACGGTTTTCGGGGGGCAGCTTGAATCTGACCATTGAACAGTGACCGTGTAACTGATATAAACGAAGAGAACGGTTTTTTTCGGGGGGGCAGCTTGAATCTTCTATTGAACAGTGACCGTGTAACTGATATAAAACGAAGAGAATAGTAAAATTTTTGGTTTAACTGGGAGAATAACTTTAATCTGACCATTGAACAGTGACCGTGTAACTGATATAAACGAAGAGAACGGTTTTTTGGGGGGGCAGCTTGAATCTGACCATTGAACAGTGACCGTGTAACTGATATAAATGAAGAGAATAGTTTTTTGGGGGGGGGACCATTGAACAGTGACCGTGTAACTGATATAAACGAAGAGAACTGACCATTGAACAGTGACCGTGTAACTGATATAAACGAAGAGAACGGTTTTCTGGGGGGACAGCTTGAATCTGACCATTGAACAGTGACCGAACAGTGTAACTGATATAAACGAAGAGAACGGTTTTTTGGGGGCAGCTTGAATCTGACCATTGAACAGTGACCGTGTAACTGATATAAACGAAGAGAACGGTTTTCTGGGGGCAGCTTTAAATCTGACCATTGAACAGTGACCGTGTAACTGATATAAAATGAAGAGAACGGTTTCTGGGGGGCAGCTTGAATCTGACCATTGAACAGTGACCGTGTAACTGATATAAACGAAGAGAATAGTTTTTTGGGGGGCAGCTTGAATCTGACCATTGAACAGTGACCGTGTAACTGATATAAACGAAGAGAATAGTTTTTTGGGGGCAGCAGCTTGAATTGAACAGTGACCATTAAACGAACAGTTCTTCCAGACCCATTGAACAGGACCGTAACTGATATAAACGAAGAGAACGGTTTTTTGGGGGCAGCTTGAATCTGACCATTGAACAGTGACCGTGTAACTGATATAAACGAAGAGAATAGTTTTTTGGGGGGCAGCTTGAATCTGACCATTGAACAGTGACCGTGTAACTGATATAAACGAAGAGAACGGTTTTTTGGTGGGCAGCTTGAATCACCACTGAACAGTGACCGTAACTGATATAAACGAAGAGAACGGTTTTCTGGGGGGCAGCTTTAATCTGAATCTGACCATTAAACAGTGAACGTTTTTTGGTAACGGATATAAATAAAGAGAATAACATTTTTGATCTGGGCAGCTTGAATCTGACCATTGAACAGTGACCGTGTAACTGATATAAACGAAGAGAACGGTTTTTTGGGGGGCAGCTTGAATCTGACCATTGAACAGTGACCGTGTAACTGATATAAACGAAGAGAACGGTTTTTCTGGGGGCAGCTTGAATCTGACCATTGAACAGTGACCGTGTAACTGATATAAACGAAGAGAACGGTTTTCTGGTCCAGCTTGAATCTGACCATTGAACAGTGACCGTGTAACTGATATAAACGAAGAGAAACAGTATTTTTCTGGGCAGCTTGAATTCGACCATTGAACAGTGACCGTGTAACTGATATAAACGAAGAGAACGGTTTTCTGGGGGCAGCTTGAATCTGACCATTGAACAGTGACCGTAACTGATATAAACGAAGAGAACGGTTTTTTGGGGGGCAGCTTGAATCTGACCATTGAACAGTGACCGTGATAACTGATATAAATGAAGAGAATAGTATTTTTTAAACGGGCAGCTTGAATCTGACCATTGAACAGTGACCGTGTAACTGATATAAACGAAAGAGAACGGTTTTTGGGGGCAGGCAGACCATTGAACAGTGACCATTGAACAATCTACCATTGAACAGTGACCGTAACTGATATAAACGAAGAGAACGGTTTTTTTAATTCTTCTTGAACAGTGACCGTGTAACTGATATAAACGAAGAGAACGGTTTTTTGGGGGCAGCTTGAATCGACCATTGAACAGTGACCGTGTAACTGATATAAACGAAGAGAATAGTTTTTCTCCGCAGCTTGAATCTGACCATTGAACAGTGACCGTAACTGATATAAACGAAGAGAATAGTTTTTTTGGGGGCAGCTTTAATCTGACCATTGAACAGTGACCCTGTAACTGATATAAACAAGAGAACGGTTTTCTGGGGGCAGCTTGAATCTGACCATTGAACAGTGACCGTGTAACTGATATAAACGAAGAGAACGGTTTTCTGGGGCATCTTGAATTCTTCTTGAACAGTGCAGCGGTTTTTGGGTGGGGCAGCTTGAATCTGACCATTGAACAGTGACCGTGTAACTGATATAAACGAAGAGAACGGTTTTTTGGGGGGCAGCTTGAATCTGACCATTGAATCTTTAACTCTTAAACGAAGAAGCATTTTTGACAAGCTTGAATCAATTGAACAGTACCGTGTAACTGATATAAAAAGAGAACGGTTTTTGGGGGGCAGCTTGAATCTGACCATTGAACAGTGACCGAAGTAACTGATATAAACGAAGAGAATCAGTAATTTTGGTGGGCAGCTTGAATCGACCATTGAACAGTGAACAGTGACCGTAACTGATATAAACGAAGAGAACGGTTTTCTGGGGGCAGCTTGAATCTGACCATTGAACAGTGACCGTGTAACTGATATAAACGAAGAGAACGGTTTTCTTCTACACGCAGCTTGAATCTGACCATTGAACAGTGACCGTGTAACTGATATAAACGAAGAGAACGGTTTTCTTGGGGGCAGCCATCTTTAATCTCTTCTACAACAGTGACTGTAACTGATATAAACGAAATTTCATTTTTTTTGGGGGGCAACTTTCGTTCTCCCATTGAACAGTGACCGTGTAACTGATATAAATGAAGAGAATAGTATTTTTGGGGGGGCAGCTTGAATCTGACCATTGAACAGTGACCGTGTAACTGATATAAATAGTCCCTGCCATCTTTAATTCTTCTGACGCAGTAACTGATATAAACGAAGATTCGTTTTCATTGAATTCACCATTGAACAGTGATATTTCTGAACGCAGTAACTGATATATTATAAACGAAGTCCCTTGCCACCTTTAACAGTTTTCTAACGGGGCAACATTTTCGTCTCCGAACATGACTTTAACTCTTATAAACGAAGAGAATGATATTTTCGTCCCTGCCATCTTTAATTCTTCCATTGAACAGTGACCGCAACTGATATAAATGAAGATTCGTTTTGGGGGCATCTTTTGACCATTGAACAGTGACCGTGCAACTGATATAAACGAAGATAACGGTATTCGTCCTGAATCTTTACCATTCTTCTAACTGATATAAACGAAGAGAACAGTATTCGTCAGCTTGAATCATCATTGAACAGTGACTTCTACTGATATAAACGAAGAGAATATTTTTTGGTCCCTTGAATCATCATTGAACAGTGACTTAACTGATATAAACGAAGAGAACGGTTTTCGTCTCTTGAATTCGACCATTGAACAGTGACCGTGTAACTCTTCTAAACGAAGAGAACTGTATTTTCGGGCCATCTTTAATTCGACCATTGAACAGTGACGCACTGATATAAACGAAGAGAACTAAACTCCGGCAGCTTTTAATTCCATTGAACAGTGACCGTAACTGATATAAACGAAGAGAATAGTATTTTTGGGGGCAGCTTGAATATTCGTGACCATTGAACAAGTGACATATTCGTTTCCGATATAAACGAAGAACTCTTCTACGCAGTTTTTCTTGAATACCATTGAACAGTCCCTGATATAAACCATCTTTTTTTTCCAATTCTTCCATTGAACAGTGACCGTGTAACATATAAACGTCTCCGCCATCTTCTAACTCTTCTACCACGAACAGTAACCGTATATATTCGAAGAGAATCCCGTTTCGTCCATCTTTAATTCTTCTAAACGCAGCAAATAACATATTCGTCTCCGGTTTTTAACTCTTCTACACGCAGTAACCATATTCGTCCAGCCATCTTTTAATTCTTATAAACGCGAAGAGAACATATTCGTCTCCGGCATCTTTGAATCTTCAGTAACTGAACATTAGTCCCTGCCATCTTTAACTCTTATAAACGAAGAGAACATTTTCGTCTCCATCTTTAACCGGCACGCAGTAACTGATATATTCGTTCTACAGTTTAATTCTTCTAGACGCAGCAAGTAACATATTCGTCTCCATCTTTAACTGATATAAACGAAGAGAACAGTATTTCGTCCCCGCCATCTTTAATTCTTCCACTGAACGCAGCAAGAAACATATTCGTGATATAAATCACGCAGAACGTTTTCTGGGGGCCATCTTTTACACTTGATTCTATATTCTCCGCCATCTTTAATTCCATTGAACTAACGCAACAAGTAACATATTCGTCTCCGCCATCTTTAACTCTTCTATTGAACAGTAACCGAACCGATATCGAAGAGAACCTGCCATCTTTAATTCCATTGAACAGACCGCAACAATATAAACGAAGAGAACGGTTCGTCTCCGCCATCACCATTAACTCTTCTAACTGCAAGAGAATAGATATATTCGTCTCCTGACCATCAGTGAATTCTTCTAAACGCAGAGAATGGTTTTTTGGGGCATTGATTCGTCCATCCAGCCATCTTTAACTCTTCTACACTTGAATTCACCAGAGAACAGTATACCGATATATTCGTCCTGCCATCTTTTAATTCTTTGAACAGTGACCGCCACTGATATAAACGAAGAGAACATATTCATCTTTTAATCGACCATCTTTAACTCTTAACTGATATAAACGCAGTAACTGATATATTCGAATCCCATTGAACATCTTTAATTGATTCTAAGAGAACAAATATATTCGAATCTCCATTGAACAGTGACCGTTAACTCTTATAAACGCAGAGAACTGATATAATCGGGCCATCTTTAATTCTTCGGGTATCTTGAACGCAGCAAGTAACATATTCGTCTCCGGGGGCATCTTGAATTGACCACTAACAGTGACCGCGGTAACTGATATAAACGAAGAGAACCATCTTTAATTCTTCTAAACGCAGCAAGAGAACATATTCGTCTCCGCCATCTTTTAACTGATATAAACGCAGAGAACTTTTTTTTGGGGGCAGCTTGAATATACCATTGAACGTCCCTGCCATAAACTTTAATTCTTCTAGAATCTGACCAAGTAACATATTCGTCTGATATAAACGAAGAGAACTTTTCTACACGCAGCTTGAACTGATATATTCGTCCCTGCCATCTTTAATTCTTCTAGACGCACCAAGAGAACATATTCGTCTCCGCCATCTTTAACTCCATTGAACAGTGACATTAACTGATATAAACGAAGAGAACGGTCCCTGCCATCTTTGATTCTTCTAGACGCAAGCAAATAACATATTCGTCTCCGCCATCTTTAACTCTTCTTGAACAGTGACGCAGTAACTGATATAAACGAAGTCGAATAGGTTTTTCTTCTAGACGCAGCAAGTAACATATTCGTCTCCGCCATTTTAACTCTTCTACACGACTGTAACTGATATAAACGATTCGTCCCTGCCATCTTTAATTCTTCTTTTGTGACGCAGCTTTAACATATTCGTCTAACCGCCATCTTTAACTCTTCTAACTGATATAAACATCTTTAATTCTTCGAAGCAGCAAGTAAATCTCCGCAATACGTTTCCGCAAGTAACATAACTTAACTCTTCTACACGCAGTAACTGATATATTAACCTGCCATCTTTAATTCTTCTAAACGCAGCAAGTAACATATTCGTCTCCGCCATCTTTAACTCTTCTACACGCAGTAAACTGATATATTAGTCCATGCCATCTTTAATTCTTCTAGACGCAGCAAGTAACATATTCGTCTCCGCCATCTTTAACTCTTCTACACGCAGTAACTGATATATTCGTCCCTGCCATCTTTAATTCTTCTAAACGCAGCAAGTAACATATTCGTCTCCGCCATCTTTAACTCTTCTACAAGCTGTAACTGATATATTCGTCCCTGCCATCTTTAATTCTTCTAGACGCAGCAAGTAACATATTCATCTCCGCCATCTTTAACTCTTCTACACGCAGTAACTGATATATTCGTCCCTGCCATCTTTAATTCTTCTAAACGAAGCAAGTAACATATTCGTCTCCGCCATCATTAACTCTTCTACACGCAGTAACTATATTCGTCCCTGCCATCTTTAATTCTTCTAAACGCAGCAAGTAACATATTCGTCTCCGCCATCTTTAACTCTTCTACACGCAGTAACTGATATATTCGTCCCTGCCATCTTTAATTCTTCTAGACGCAGCCAAGTAACATATTCGTCTCCGCCATCTTTAACTTCTTCTACATTCGCAGTAACTTATATATCGTCCCTGCCATCTTTAATTCTTCTAAACGCAGCAAGTAACATATTCGTCTCCGCCATCTTTAACTCTTCTACACGCAGCAGTAACGACGCAGATATATTCGTCCCTGCCATCTTTAATTCTTCTAAACGCAGCAAGTAACATATTCGTCTCCGCCATCTTTAACTCTTCTACACGCAGTAAACTGATATATTAGTCCCTGCCATCTTTAATTCTTCTAGACGCAGCAAGTAACATATTCGTCTCCGCCATCATTAGCTCTTTCTACACGCAGTAACTGATATATTCGTCCCTGCCATCTTTAATTCTTCTAGACGCAGCAAGTAACATATTCGTCTCCGCCATCTTTAACTCTTCTACACGCAGTAACTGATATATTCGTCCCTGCCATCTTTAATTCTTCTAGACGCAGCAAGTAACATATTCGTCTCCGCCATCTTTAACTCTTCTACACGCAGTAACTGATATATTCGTCCCTGCCATCTTTAATTCTTCTAAATGCAGCAAGTAACATATTCGTCTCCGCCATCTTTAACTCTTCTACACGCAGTAACTGATATATTCGTCCCTGCCATCTTTAATTCTTCTAGACGCAGCAAGTAACATATTCGTCTCCGCCATCTTTAACTCTTCTACAAGCTGTAACTGATATATTCGTCCCTGCCATCTTTAATTCTTCTAGACGCAGCAAGTAACATATTCGTCTCCGCCATCATTAACTCTTCTACACGCAGTAACTGATATATTCGTCCCTGCCATCTTTAATTCTTCTAGACGCAGCAAGTAACATATTCGTCTCCGCCATCATTAACTCTTCTACACGCAGTAACTGATATATTCGTCCCTGCCATCTTTAATTCTTCTAGACGCAGCAAGTAACATATTCGTCTCCGCCATCATTAACTCTTCTACACGCAGTAACTGATATATTCGTCCCTGCCATCTTTAATTCTTCTAGACGCAACAAATAGTACATATTCGTCTCCGCCATCATTAACTCTTCTACGCAGTAACTGATATATTCGTCCCTGCCATCTTTAATTCTTCTAGACGCAGCAAGTAACATATTCGTCTCCGCCATCATTAACTCTTCTACACACGCAGTAACTGATATATTCGTCCCTGCCATCTTTAATTCTTCTAGACGCAGCAAGTAACATATTCGTCTCCGCCATCATTAACTCTTCACACGCAGTAACTGATATATTCGTCCCTGCCATCTTTAATTCTTCTAGACGCAGCAAGTAACATATTCGTCTCCGCCATCTTTAACTCTTCTACACGCAGTAAACTGATATATTAGTCCCTGCCATCTTTAATTCTTCTAGACGCAGCAAGTAACATATTCATCTCCGCCATCATTAACTCTTCTACACGCAGTAACTGATATATTAGTCCCTGCCATCTTTAATTCTTCTAGACGCACCAAGTAACATATTCGTCTCCGCCATCTTTAACTCTTCTACACGCAGTAACTGATATATTCGTCCCTGCCATCTTTAATTCTTCTAGACGCAGCAAGTAACATATTCGTCTCCGTCATCTTTAACTCTTCTACACGCAGTAACTGATATATTCGTCCGTGCCATCTTTAATTCTTCTAGACGCAGCAATTAACATATTCGTCTCCGCCATTTTTTACTCTTCTACACGCAGTAACTGATATATTCATCTCCGCCATCTTTAATTCTTCTAGACGCAGCAAGTAACATATTCGTCTCCGCCATCTTTAACTCTTCTACACGCAGTAACTGATATATTCGTCCCTGCCATCTTTAATTCTTCTAGACGCAGCAAGTAACATATTCGTCTCCGCCATCTTTAACTCTTCTACACGCAGTAAACTGATATATTAGTCCCTGCCATCTTTAATTCTTCTAGACGCAGCAAGTAACATATTCGTCTCCGCCATCTTTAACTCTTCTACAAGCTGTAACTGATATATTCGTCCGTGCCATCTTTAATTCTTCTAAACGAAGCAAGTAACATATTCGTCTCCGACATCGTTAACTCTTCTACACGCAGTAACTGATATATATTTGTAGGCAAATCAATTTTTTACATGTTCAAGTTTTTGTCTATAGACAATGCCATCACTTTCATCCATCTGTATATTTCTTTTCCTTTTTTTTTTCAGATTATTATTCTTCGCTCTCTTTTATTTTATTTTTTTAAATTTCTTTTGCCTTTTCGTTTTCTTTTTTTTCTTCTATTCTTTGTTCCTCGTATTTTTCTTTTTTTTTTTTTTTTTTGCTTTCATTTTGTTCTTTCTGTCTTGATCGCTTTCTTATTTCTTGACGGTAATACTCCATTTTTGGTTTGATCTGACTCTTGTAATAATAGAGAATGACAGGAGGAGAGCTCCAGAGGGTAGATACTTTCTGGAACGCTGCAAAGAACCGACTACATTCCAACCTCTTTAGTGATGGATTGAATATATGAGTTCTACTTGAAGTCTTGGGTGAACGTGAGTCCCAATAGACGTTCAAAAGAATTAGAAAATTCATGGTCTGCTTGGTAATGACGTAATATTATTGGCTTGGGTTTTGGAGATATTTAATGTTACTTTT